AGCTCCCTGATACATTTACCTTTATCAGACATGGTCAATTATCAATAATGAACCAGCTCCCTGATAACATTATCATACTTGGTTATTTATGAACAAGCTCCCTGATAACATCATCAGACTTGGTTAATTATGAATAAGCTTCCTGATAACATTATCAGACATCATTAATTATAAACAAGCTCCCTGATAACATTATCAGACAGTTAATTATGAGTAAGCTCCCTGATAACATTATCAGTCGTGGTTTAGTAGGACCAGCTACCTGATAACATTATCATACTTGGTTATTTATGAACAAGCTCCTTGATAACATTATCAGACTTGGTTAATTATGAACCAGCTCTCTGATGACATTATCAGGCGTGGTTATATATTAAAGTATGAACCAGTGCCCTGATAACATTATGAGGCATGGTTAAGTATGAACAAGCTCCCTTATAACATTATCAAACATGGTTAATTATGAACCAGCTCCCTTATAACATTATCAACCATGGTTAATTATGAACCAGCTCCCTTATAACATTAGCAAACGTGGTTAATTATGAGCCAGCTCCCTTATAACATTAGCAAACATGGTTAATTATGAACCAGCTCCCTTATAACATAATCAAACATGGTTAGGTATGAACAAGCTCCCTTATAACATTATCAAACATGGTTAATTATGAACCAGCTCCTTATAACATTATCAAACATGGTTAATTATGAATCAGCTCCCTTATAACATAATCAAACATGGTTAAGTATGAACAAGCTCCCTTATAACATTATCAAACATGGTTGATTATGAACCAGCTCCCTTATAACATTATCAAACATGGTTAATTATGAATCAGCTCCCTTATAACATAATCAAACATGGTTAAGTATGAACAAGCTCCCTTATAACATTATCAAACATGGTTAATTATGAACCAGCTCCCTTTTAACATTATCAACCATGGGTAATTATGAACCAGCTCCCTTATAACATTATCAACCATGGTTAATTATGAACCAGCTCCCTTATAACATAATCAAACATGGTTAGGTATGAACAAGCTCCCTTATAACATTATCAAACATGGTTAATTATGTACCAGCTCCCTTATAACATTATCAAACATGGTTATTTATGAACCAGCTCCCTTATAACATTATCAAACATGGTTATTTATGAACCAGCTCCCTTATAACATTATCAAACATGGTTATTTATGAACCAGCTCCCTTATAACATTATCAAACATGGTTAATTATGTACCAGCTCCCTTATAACATTATCAAACATGGTTAATTATGTACCAGCTCCCTTATAACATTATCAAACATGGTTAATTATGTACCAGCTCCCTTATAACATTATCAAACATGGTTATTTATGAACCAGCTCCCTTATAACATTATCAAACATGGTTATTTATGAACCAGCTCCCTTATAACATTATCAAACGTGGTTAATTATGAACCAGCTCCCTTATAACATTATCAACCATGGTTAATTATGAACCAGCTCCCTTATAACATAATCAAACATGGTTAAGTATGAACAAGCTCCCTTATAACATTATCAAACATAGTTAATTATGAACCAGCTCCCTTATAACATTATCAACCATGGATAATTATGAACCAGCTCCCTTATAACATTATCAAATGTGGTTAATTATTAACCAGCTCCGAGATTATTTTTGTGCAATTAATCCAATGTTTATATATACAAGTCACAGGAAGTCTGCTAAAGACGGCCCGTAACAGTTTCAAAAACCAAGACCCGATTTGCAAACTGCAGAAATGCATTAAATGAAATTAATATGGCATAAAAACTAGGCAAAATTTTGGTATGCAAATATGAAGCTACAGTGTAAACATTTAAGACACATATATACAATGTAAAACTATTGACTATTTATGCATTGTTAAAATAAAAGTGAATGGCAATCATATATGTTAATACATATGTACACTCAGAAACAGTAGATCAAATAAAAAAAAATCAGATACTCTTCTTCCTATTTACAGAGCAATGAACAACACAAAATATGATTTTATGTTTTTGTCTACTACAAAGAGATATTCACAGTTTTGATGGTTTAAGTGAACTCTATCTAGCCCTCCACTCCTGACAACTGACATCTGCTGTAAAATAACAAGAGGCCCAATGGGCCTAAATCGCTCACCTGGTATTAATCTCACACTTGTAATCTTAAACGTGGACTAAAATACAGCTAGAGGCAGAATATCAGTGTTTGTATAAAGGTTTTAAACATATTTGACCCCTGTGACCTTGGATATACTTCAAGGTAATTCATTTGAACAAACTTGTTAGCCCTTTATCCTAGCATGCTACTTGCCAAATATCATAACCCTAGGCCTCTTGGTTATTAAGAAGAGGTTGTATAAAGGTTTCAAACATATTTGACCCCTGTGACCTTGAATATAAGTTAGGGTTATTCATTTGAACAAACTTGGTAGACCTTCAACCCAGCATGCTACTTGCCAAATATCATCATCCTAGGCCTCTTGGTTATTCAGAAAAGGTTATATAAAGGTTTCAAACATATTTGACCCTTGTGACCTTGAATATAAGTTAAGTTCATTCATTTGAACAAACTTGGTAGCCCTTCATCCCAGCATGTTGCTTGCCAAATATCATAACCATAGGCCTCTTTAGTTATTTAGAAGTTGTATAAAGGTTTCAAACATGTTTGACCCCTGTGACCTTCAACATTTGTCAAAGTCATTTATTTGAACAACCTTATTAGCCCTACATCCCAGCATGCTACTGGCCAAATATCATTATCCTACGACTTGTGGTTATTGAGAAGAAGTTGTTTAAATGTTTTAAACACATTTGACCCCTGTGACCTTGAATATAATTAATGGTCATTCATTTGAACAAACTTGGTAGCCCTTCATCACAGCAAGCTACTGGCCAAATATAATCATCCTAGGCCTTTTGTTTATTGAGAAGAAGTTGTTTAAAGGTTTTTAACATATTTGACCCCTGTGACCTTGAATATAAATAAAGGTCATTCATTTGAACAACTTAGTAGACCTTTATCCCAGCATACTACTTGCCAAATATTATCATCCTAGGCCTCTTGGTTATTCAGAAACAAGATGCCCAATGGGCCTGAAGCGCTCACTTGGTATTAATCTCACAAATAATCTTAAAAGTGGACTTAAATACAGCTACAGGCAGAATATCAGTGTTTGACTCATAAGAACCTATTGAAAGATTTAAACATAAGACGCCTGTGACCTTGAATGTCAAACAAGGACATAAGGTTGAACAGAGTTTATAGTCGTCCAACCAAGCATGCTTCTGGCAAAATATCCTTACCCTGGACCTTTTGATTATACAGAACAAGTCATTTAAAGATTTAAACATATATTGACCACTATAACCTTGAAAATGGGCTTAGGTTATTCATTTGAAAAAACTGGTAGTCCTTAATCCCAGCATGTTAATGGCCAAATATCATCACCCTTAGCCTTTTGCTTATTGAAAAGAAGTCGTTAAAAGGTTATAAACATATTTGACCCTGTGACCTTTAATATATGTCAAGGTTATTCGTTTGAACAAACTTGGTAGTCCTTCATCCTAGCATGCTACTGGCCAAATATCCTCATCCTAGGCCTTTTGGTTATTGAGAAAAAAATGTTTAAAAGAGTTAAACATATTTGACCCCTGTGACCTTGAAAATAGACGAAGGTCATTTGTTTGAACAAACTTGGTAGCACTTTAACCCAGCATTTAACTGGCCAAATATCATCATCACAGGCATTTTAGTTATTGAGCAGAAGTTGTTGAAAGGTTTTTAACATATTTGAACCCTGCGACCTTGAAAACAGATGAAGGTCATTCGTTGAACAAACTTGGTAGCCCTTCATCCCAGCAAGTTACTGGCCAAATACCATTATCCTTTCCCTCTTGGGTATTCAGAACAAGTTGTTTAAAGGTTTTAAACATATTTGACCCTGTGACCTTGAAAATGGGTGAAGGTCATTTGTTTTGACAAACTTGGCAGCTCTTCATACCAGCATGCTCCTGGTCAAATATCATCATCCAAGGCTGTTTGGTTATTGAGAAGTTGTTTTAAAGGTTTTTAACATATTTGACCCCTGTGACCTTGAAAATGTGTGAAGATCATTTGTTTGAACAAACTTTGTAGCCCTTCATCCCAGCATGTTACTGGCCACATATCATCACCCTAGGCCTCTTTGTTATTCAGAGGAAGTCGTTCAAAGATTTTAACATATTTGACCCCTGTGACCTTGAATATGAGCGAAGTTCATTTATTTGAACATATTTGGTAGCCCTTTATCCCAGCATCTAACTGGCAAAATATGAATAACCCTTGGCCTCTTGGTAATTCAGAAGAAGTTGTTGAAAGGTTTTTAACATATTTGACCCATGTGACCTTGAAAACGGATGAAGGTCATTTGTTTTGACAAACTTGGTAGCTCTTCATCCCAGCATGCTCCTGGTCAAATATCATCATCCAAGGCTGTTTGGTTATTTAGAAGTTGTTTTAAAGGTTTTAAACATATTTGACCCCTGTGACCTTGAAAATGGGAGAAGGTCATTTGTTTGAACACCTTGGTAGCCCTTCATCCCAGCATGTCACTGGCCGAAGATCATCACCTTAGGCCTCTTTGTTCTTCAGAAGAAGTTGTTAACATATTTGACCCCTGTGACCTTGAAAATGTATGAAGGTCATTCATTTGAACAAACTTGGTAGCCCTTGATTCCAGCATGCTACTGACCCAATATCATCAACCTAGGCCTTTTGGTTACTGAAAAGAAGTTGTTTAAAGTAAAAAGTTGACACCGGACAGACGGACGACGCAAGACAGACGACGGACAACAGGCGGACGCCGCACCATGGCATAAGCTCACTTGCCCTTTGGGCAGTTGAGCTAAAAATTGTTTCAAGGTTTTAAACATATTTGACCCCTGTGACCTTGAATATTTGTCAAAGTCATTCATTTGAACAAACTTGGTAGCCCTTCATCCCAGCATGCTACTGGCCAAATATCATTATCCTAGGAAGTTGTTTAAAGTAAAATATTGATGCTGGGCGCCGGCCAGCCGGCCTACAGCCGCACCACGGCATAAGCTCACTTGGCCCTGTGGGCCAGGTGAGCTAACAATGAAATGACGTCAAGCTAAAATAACTGAAGCAAAAGGCGAGTAGCGCAGTTCACTGAAGATTTGTAACACTGGCAGGCTAGTCAAAGAAACAAATCTCCCCTGTGTAAAGACAGAGAAATTTGGGCTAAGATATTTTAACTGTTTGGTTTTTGGCAAAACCTTGACCTTGATAAACAGAGAGATTACCCTTGGTTTGCAATTTCTCTGTCTAACATAGTGAGTAACAGGTAAATAAGTTAACACAGCATTGTTCAAATACAGAAAAAAATACATATCGGGCAAGAAAGTTATATAGGCAAGTAGGACATTACAAGTGTTTGTGAGGAAATACACTAATCAGTACTTTTAGTACAAGTTTTACAAGATTCAATTAGAAAATTATTATCACTCAATTCACAGAGAATGCTGATTTTTCTGTTAGTAAAATTGTTTTACATGGAATTTCTTAGTACAGTACATTTCACCTTATATCACGTCACTTCACGTTAATTTTTGGTTATTATCATGTTTCGTTGTTGATTTCGCTTGATATCTCTTTATTTTGGCCACTGTCACAAAATAATCATAGGTAAATGATGGTAAGAATCAATTGTGTGTGCCCTAGCTGGGATCTAGTGACACACCTGGACGCGTTATGTAAACAACGTCTCAAACTTACAGTGACCATTATTAGAAAAACTTCAAACTGGAGGAAATTATCTGACAATAGTAAAACAGGATTAGTATCAATAGAAAATTTATTATTGAATATTGGTTGTCAACATTATCTTGAGTAATCCCTCACCAGTTAACTCATTCATCCCTGAAATTTCATAATGAACTATTCCAACCTTTAAGGTGGAAGAGTTCAAATGTGTTTTCAGGGGAGGGTGAGTTAAATAACTACCAATGTACAATAAAATATCTTACATCATACTGCTAGCTGCACGGCTCAAAAACGCACAAGATTACACAATAGCATCACTGAACACACTCAGTTAATTTCATGGCCTATTTAAATGGCAAATAGACGAACAGACATTGCAAGAAGCACTGCTAATATAGCACATTTCAATAACATGTACATCATTCTGATTGTTATGATAATAAAAGTACTAGAATTGTACCAGAACCACGTAATGACGTTCTAAGCCAGTTTCAGCATGGTAGAATTTGACTTAAAAACTTTCAAGATGATAAATTTTTTATCAACACATAGTAGATGATATTTCCCCCGTGCAAAAGGAGCACATGATCTTCCTTGGATCAATAATCATATTGACTTCACGGCTAATTTATTTACAAGTTATTATTATTTTACAATGGCTGAAACGATACCAGGTACAGTACTGTATGTCACTCAACCAGATCTGTTTCACAGACATGCACCATTCTGATTGGATAAGAAAATGGAATTTCCCCACTGTACCAAATTATGGTCCTGTCTGGCAATGTTGGAAAGGCAAACATGTATTGACATACATGGAAAATTTGAGGTCCCTAAAACATTGTAGCTCAAAAAGATATGTGGTAATCAGCATATCATAATAAGGGGAGAATCATAGAAATCAGGCATTCAGAGTGAAGAGGGAAACATGGGAATCAGGCGCTAGGCATTCAAAATGAAGAGGGAAACATCATAGGAAACAAGCATTCAGAATCAGAGGGAAACATGTGAACCAGGCATTCTAAGAGAAGAGGGAAACATGGGAATCAGGCATTCAGAATGAGGAAGGAAACATGGAAATCAGGAATTCATAGTGGAGAGGGAAACATGGGAATAAGGCATTCAGAATGAGGAGGGAAACATGGGAATAAGGCATTCAGAATGAGGAGGGAAACATGGGAATAAGGCATTCAGAATCAAGAGGGAAACATGGACACCAGGCAGGCAGAATGAGGAGGGTAACATGGTAATCAGGCATACAGAATGAGGAAAAACATTGGAATCAGGCATTCAAAATGAGGGGGGGGGGGAAACATGGGAATCAGGCATTCAGAATAAGGAGGGAGACATGGAAATCAGGCAGGCAGAATGAGGAGGGTAACATGGGAATCAGGCAGGCAGAATGAGGAGGGAAACATGGGAATAAGGCATTCAGAATGAGGAGGGAAACATGGGAAGAAGGCAATCAGAATCAAGAGAGAAACATGGGAACAAGGCAGGCATGAAGAGGATAACATGGGAATCAGGCATACAGAATGAGGAGGGAAACATGGGAATCAGGCATTCAGAATGAGGAGGGAAACATGGGAATCAGGCAGGCAGAGAATGAGGAGGGAAACATGGGAATCAGGCATTCAGAATAAGGAGGGAAACATGGGAATCAGGCAGGCAGAATGAGGAGGGAAACATGGTGAATCAGGCAGGCAGAATGAGGAGGGAAACATGGTGAATCAGGCAGGCAGAATGAGGAGGGAAATATGGGAATCAGGCATTCAGAATGAGGAGGGAAACATGGTGAATCAGGCAGGCAGAATGAGGAGGGAAACATGGTGAATCAGGCAGGCAGAATGAGGAGGGATACATGGGAATCAGGCAGGCAGAATAAAGGGTACATACAGTAATAACCATTACATAGTTTTTCACAGTTATTTTGTACATTATTGAGAAAAGTGTTCTTCCAGTCTCAGATCTCATTCGAAAATAGTTTTTCCAGTCTCAGACAACAATTGAAATTTGTTCTTCTACTCTCAGATGACTAACCAATCAGTCACAAATATTTACAATAATTACGCTACACAATGTTAAGAAATTCAAACGATCATACTAAAGGTATAAAACAATGAGTAAAAGACACTTATTTTACATGGAAAAACATGATCACAATTCAATTCATTCAAACTTCATTTCAGCCAACTCAAACAATTCTTACCACTACATGAATTCCAGGTGAGAGTTTGGTCCCAAACAAATCCAAGTGTATGGACCAGTCATACAGAAATTTAAAAAGAAACACTTTGTAATGTTGAAAATAAACAACTTACTTTGAAAAACACAGGGTAAACATTCTTATATATTACAGAAAAGAAAAGAAAAAAAACAAACTTTCTAATACAGAAAATTAACAACTAGCTTTATACATACTGGACACCTGTAAATGATTTGAAGAAAGATTTTCTAAACAAATTATTATTAGAGTATTTCATTTTATAATAATACTTTTCTTACAAAATGTTATTTCAATGAGATTCAATGACATTCGGAAATCCATATCATTTTTTATTTTGAAACCCATTTTTTTTTTTTTTTATAGTGATAATCTCTTCCTGCATTTGAATAGCTTAACCAAATTGTTACCCCGTATAATATGGATAATTCCAATAACGTTATAAAATTATTTTAACCTCTAATTATTACTCATATAGTAACAGTAAAACCATAAATCTTCTTTTGAACAAATAAAAAGTTACATTCACACATGAAAATTCTAATTATCATAAGAATGAAGGCTTCTAAAATTAATCTGATATTTTGATAGGTTGACTAGACTGTGTATTTAACAGGCTGACAATATGGCGAGGCAGACACAAGTAGTTGGGCACATTATTCTGACTGAGCAGAATGAGTTAACAACTACAGATCTTCTCGAAGTGGGGAATACTTCTTTGCTCCTCGTTTCGACTTTGCCTTGTCGTGTTTTTCGTAGAAGTTCATGTCTTCAACATGCGTGTTATGAAGATCATCTTCAGGAACAGAACTGAAATTGACACCTTCATGATCGTCCTGAAGTTCAACAGTCCAGAAGGGTTTTGCTGCGGGATGTTCCTTCCATTTCCTGTAGATGATGATTCCTGCAATTGCCGAGAGAACGAGGACCACTAACACGCACACTAATGCGATCACGGCAGTGTTTGTCTTAGGTTTTGGTTTCAGGTCCGCTATTATAGAACAAAAAATACAGAACATAAACATAGGGACCTCTCAAGTAGCCTAGCTAATAAATCTGGTCATACCTTTTCAGTATTGTAATAGATGTGAGATTTTTTTATTTTTTTTTATTACTTGGCCACTTGTGATAGACATGAGGAGAGATTGTGATCGTAATTTGATTGGTCTTTAGACTTTGTGAACATAAAGGAAATCAATAATCTATCTAAAATAATTGTGAGATTATGTAGGAACATGTTTAGAGTGAGTTGGAAGAATGGTGTACTGAATTATGAGAACAGAAGAGTGTATCATTCATGTATTCAGTGTTAGGAGTGTGGACTATATTCTGGGCAAAGGAGTGAATGAATACTTCCAGAAATATTCACAAAACTAAAATTTCAGACAAGTTTATAAATCTTAGCTTGCTATATATTATTAGTTATATAGTCAGTTACTGACCCTCTACAGAACCAAAGAGGGTCAGTAAGATTTATAGGGGGCCAGGGCGGAGCCCGAGCCTCCTATACAACTTACTGACCCTCTATGGTTCTGGAGAGGGTCAGTAACTGACTATATAACGAATTTATCGCATCGAGGACCCTTTTTGCTTAAAATGAAAATGATGTAATGCATAACAAAACAATATGAATATTTAACAAATTTAATCAACTTTGATAAATGAAAACAAAATAAATTAAAAAAAACATAACATGTAACAGTTTTTTTGTCCTTGGAACAAGACACACACAGATCGTTAACATTTTCTCATTTGTTAATTGTGAATTTGAAGCGGTGAGCAATGGGCGGCCATATTGCCCTATAATGGAATCCTACTGACCCTCTATAGAAGATTAGAGGGTCACCACGTGACAGCTCTAAACCAATGGTTTTTGGACACTTTTGTTCGAGGTGCGATAAATATATATAGAGTGCATTTTCTGAAGGACAATTGCAAAATTTGTATACCTAGTTTATTTTTCAGGTAAAGGGACATTGAACAGCAACTACTTAAAATCGTTTGTCAAAGTACAAGTGATGATTGGTCAGATCATGGCAGGTACTGCTGCAAAAGTCTATAAACAAAAAGCCCCGAAAAATCAACTTTTAGATCAGATTAGCTAATTAAGCCTGCCAAAGCCAACCTCAAAAGTCTTGCACAGTACATAATTCCTACAAGACAGCTTGGGATTTCATAGATATTATATATATATGTATATTGGCAGTCAGAAATACATTGTGAATCATTATACTGAAATATTGGTTACATTTATAATGAAATTCATTTATTAAAACTTAAAGCCAAATACAAGTTCGACAAACTAATTATTGCCTCCCCTTAACTAGTGTTTATACTCAGGTGGTACATCTAACCATTCAGTATGGTTGATGTATATATCTATTTCAGTAATTATGCCATAAGTTAATCACGAGCCTACCTCCTACTACACTAGCAACTTAGAGTGAGAGAGAATAATTAAGAGGAAGGCTGTCTATTTTAGCATACATTTGTAAATGAATGTATGATTATTATAAAAACATGTATGAGTATTGTCCTCCGTTAATAAATCTACAGACTTTGAGTATTTGATGATGTTATTATCGACACGTCATCTCTACATGACCCTTATCTGTATTCCTGCTACAGCACATTAATACACAAATGTCCCAAAAGGCCTGTACTGCTCATTTGATCATTAATGTAATGAAGTTAGGAATTCAAATAATTTTACTGTAAATTTTGCTTTATAGTGTATAGGAAACACTAGCTACAACGGGTAGACGGACTGTTTGGTAGGATACCCTGATAGTCTTTGTAATAGCCAAGTTATACACAAGGGTAGGGTGACTGTTTGGTAGGATCCCCCGATAGTCTTTGTAATAGCCAAGTTATACACAAGGGTAGGGTGACTGTATGGTAAGATACCCTGATAGTCTTTATAATAGCCAAGTTATACACACGGGTAGGGTGACTGTATGGTAGGATACTCTGATAGTCTTTGTAATAGCCAAGTTATACACAAGGGTAGGGTGACTGTATGGTAAGATACCCTGATAGTCTATGGAATAGCCAAGTTATACACACGGGTAGGGTGACTGTATGGTAGGATCCCCTGATAGTCTTTGTAATACCCAAGTTATACACACGGGTAGGGTGACTGTTTGGTAGGATGCCCTGATAGTCTTTGTAATAGCCAAGTTATACACACGGGTAGGTAGGGTGACTGTTTGGTAGGATACCCCGATAGTCTTTGTAATAGACAAGTTATACACACGGGTAGGGTGACTGTTTGGTAGGATACTCCGATAGTCTTTGTAATAGCCAAGTTATACACAAGGGTAGAGTGATTGTTTGGTAGGATACCCTGATAGTCTTTGTAATAGACAAGTTATACACACGGGTAGGGTGACTGTTTGGTACGATACCCTGATAGTCTTTGTAATAGCCAAGTTATATACAAGGGTAGGGTGACTGTTTGGTAGGATACCCTGATAGTCTTTCTAATAGCCAAGTTATACACACAGGTAGGGTGACTGTTTGGTAGGATACCCTGATAGTCTTTCTAATAGCCAAGTTATACACACAGGTAGGGTGACTGTTTGGTAGGATCCCCTGATAGTCTTTGTAATAGCCAAGTTATACACACAGGTAGGGTGACTGTTTGGTAGGATCCCCTGATAGTCACTATAATAGACAAGTTATACACAAGGGTAGGGTGACTGTTTGGTAGGATCCCCCGATAGTCTTTGTAATAGCCAAGTTATACACAAGGGTAGGGTGACTGTTTGGTAGGATCCCCCGATAGTCTTTGTAATAGCCAAGTTATACACACGGGTAGGTAGGGTGACTGTTTGGTAGGATACCCCGATAGTCACTATAATAGATAAGTTATACACAAGGGTAGGGTGACTGTATGGTAAGATACCCTGATAGTCTTTGTAATATCCAAGTTATACACACGGGTAGGGTGACTGTATGGTAGGATCCCCTGATAGTCTTTGTAATAGCCAAGTTATACACTCGGGTAGGGTGACTGTATGGTAAGATTCCCTGATAGTCTTTGTAATAGCCAAGTTATACACGCGGGTAGGGTGACTGTATGGTAGGATACCCTGATAGTCTTTGTAATAGCCCAGTTATACACACGGGTAGGGTGACTGTTTGGTAGGATACTCCGATAGTCTTTGTAATAGCCAAGTTATACACAAGGGTAGGGTGATTGTTTGGTAGGATACCCTGATAGTCTTTGTAATAGCCCAGTTATACACACGGGTAGGGTGACTGTTTGGTAGGATACCCTGATAGTCTTTGTAATAGCCCAGTTATACACACGGGTAGGGTGACTGTTTGGTAGGATCCCCTGATAGTCTTTGTAATAGCCAAGTTATACACTCGGGTAGGGTGACTGTATGGTAAGATTCCCTGATAGTCTTTGTAATAGCCAAGTTATAAACACGGGTAGGGTGACTGTATGGTAAGATACCCTGATAGTCTATGGAATAGCCAAGTTATACACACGGGTAGGGTGACTGTATGGTAGGATACCCCGATAGTCTTTGTAATAGACAAGTTATACACACGGGTAGGGTGACTGTTTGGTAGGATACCCCGATAGTCACTATAATAGACAAGTTATACACAAGGGTAGGGTGACTGTATGGTAGGATACCCCGATAGTCTTTGTAATAGCCAAGTTATACACACGGGTAGGTAGGGTGACTGTTTGGTAGGATACCCCGATAGTCTTTGTAATAGACAAGTTATACACAAGGGTAGGGTGACTGTTTGGTAGGATCCCCCGATAGTCTTTGTAATAGCCAAGTTATCCACACGGGTAGGGTGACTGTTTGGTAGGATACCTTGTAGTCTTTGTAATAGCCAAGTTATACACAAGGGTAGGGTGACTGTTTGGTAGGATACCCCGATAGTCACTATAATAGATAAGTTATACACAAGGGTAGGGTGACTGTATGGTAGGTCTTTGTAATAGCCAAGTTATACACACGGGTAGGTAGGGTGACTGTTTGGTAGGATACCCCGATAGTATTTGTAATAGCCAAGTTATACACACGGGTAGGGTGACTGTATGGTAAGATACCCTGATAGTCTTTGTAATATCCAAGTTATACACACGGGTAGGGTGACTGTATGGTAAGATACCCTGATAGTCTTTGTAATATCCAAGTTATACACACGGGTAGGGTGACTGTATGGTAAGATACCCTGATAGTCTTTGTAATATCCAAGTTATACACACGGGTAGGGTGACTGTATGGTAAGATACCCTGATAGTCTTTGTAATAGCCAAGTTATACACACGGGTAGGTAGGGTGACTGTTTGGTAGGATACCCCGATAGTCACTATAATAGATAAGTTATACACAAGGGTAGGGTGACTGTATGGTAGGATCCCCCGATAGTCTTTGTAATAGCCAAGTTATCCACACGGGTAGGGTGACTGTTTGGTAGGATACCCCGATAGTCACTATAATAGATAAGTTATACACAAGGGTAGGGTGACTGTATGGTAGGTCTTTGTAATAGCCAAGTTATACACACGGGTAGGGTGACTGTATGGTAAGATACCCTGATAGTCTTTGTAATATCCAAGTTATACACACGGGTAGGGTGACTGTATGGTAGGATACCCCGATCGTCACTATAATAGACAAGTTATACACAAGGGTAGGGTGACTGTTTGGTAGGATACCCTGATAGTCTTTGTAATAGCCGAGTTATACACAAGGGTAGGGTGACTGTATGGTAGGATTCCCCGATAGTCTTTGTAATAGCCAAGTTATACACACGGGTAGGTAGGGTGACTGTTTGGTAGGATACCCCGATAGTCTTTGTAATAGACAAGTTATACACACGGGTAGGGTGATTGTTTGGTAGGATACCCTGATAGTCTTTGTAATAGCCGAGTTATACACAAGGGTAGGGTGACTGTATGGTAGGTCTTTGTAATAGCCAAGTTATACACACGGGTAGGTAGGGTGACTGTTTGGTAGGATACCCCGATAGTCACTATAATAGATAAGTTATACACAAGGGTAGGGTGACTGTATGGTAGGATACCCCGATACATGTATGTAAGCTCTATACCATGAAAGGGAGGACAGGGAGACATTTTTATTAACTAGATCTGAAAGCCAAGTCTAATTAAATATCCCTTGCTCATCATTACATATCGGGTGGATCCTTGCCAACTTTAAAAAAAAATCCATGAGTTGTTCTTTCAGATGAAATAATTAGATCTTAGAAAATAGTAATAGTTTAGCAAATTCACTGGTTGAAAATACTAAACATGAGGGTCGAAAATCAGGACTCTCCCTCCTAAATAGGGAGAGTTGGCAAGTATCGGTGTGTCCTTGAAGAAAATCAAATGTACAGTATGCATGAGAGAAATACATGTCAACATGATAATTATGATTAACTGTATCAGGTTTCAGAGAAATTAAATGAGAACAACACGGAAATACTTAAAACATGTAAAGGGCAATAACTCTGGCATGCCCTTCATCCCAGTGTATGTTTATCGATTGACTACACTAAGCCTACACTACAATAAATGTTTACCTTTGTGAGTGCAATTTTTGAAAATATGAGCATCCCCTTCATAGTCTTTCTGGCACTTGTCACATGAAAAACCTGTTGTGTTATATTTGCAGTCAATGCATTCTCCTGAAATAAAATTAAAAAGTGAAATTATGATTTAAAATATAACTTCAAATATAAAATAGTTTTATTAAGATTCAGTTTGAAGTAGAAAAATTATTTTCAATACAATGTGTGATCCTGATAACAGCACCAAACTTAAGCCTTTTCAGTTTTTTCTTGTTCCAACGGATAACTAATCAATGATTTTTTTTCTGTCTTCCAAGCTATCTGTGGAATAGATTGTTAATAATCATATGAGATACAATAAAATGCATTCATAACATTTATTTCTGATTAACTATAAATTGATAACTGAAAATATTTCAAAAGATTCAGGAAAATGTAGCTGAAATTCTCCAAAGTACATAACACCAGCCTATTGTCAATGTAGTATGTCACACTAGACTTCATTCCATGTATTAACTACATCTTAAATGTAATACCAACCTACATGCAATTCAGATATTTTGTCCATTTAACCCTTTCACCACTGTAGACCATAATGGACACATCCAGATCTATGTATGGTCGAGTCTACTAAAGTTGAATAGGGATGAAACGGTTATAATAACCTAATGGACTCCTTCCCTTAATTCAGAAAATATTTTAAACATATACTGCACCGAGACAAGATTTCATGGGGGAAATTCTTTTATGAAAAGTAAATTATATATGTTTCAAATGAAAGCATGAAACAGTTTTTTCTTTCGTTAACCTAATTTTGAAACAAATTTGTCTCAAAAACTAACTTTGGATCAAAAGTTTTCACTTTCGTTTTTGGCATGTTAAAACACAAAATATCAATTCACCATTTTGAAAATGGAGAATCAGGAAATCAGGTTACAATCTTACTTTGATTTTGGCAGTGATACAGAGATCCTTAAAGTCAAAGCATGGAAAGCAGATGATCAAACAAACTCTAATGAAATCCAAATATAATATATACGTATCGTCCCACCTGTATAAGGGTTACAATTGTCACTGTTTCCTCTGCAGGCACACGGTTTACAGTGTCCTGACGAACCATATCGGAAAAAACCTTTCACACACTTGTGACACAGATTTCCAAAGTATCCATTCTTGCATTTATCGCAGTAGAGAAACTCCTCCCCTGTGAACAAAATGAAGCATATGCATATATCCTTACTTATTGGCTTACTGTGATCCATTTCAAGGTTAAAGGTCAAATAGTATACAGTAAAACCTTGTCATACTGCCACGATGTGTCCAGAGAAATTTTGGCGTTATAAAGGGGTTTGGCAATAAATTGAGGGAAATGTATAAACAATTCTTAAGAAAAGGCAAAAAAGGACATTGAAATATGCTGTCGGAAAACGAGGTGGCAAATGAGACGAGGTGCATTATAACGAGGTTGTACTACTGTATACAATTGATTTTCAGAAATTGATTGTCAGGACTGTAAATTCAACTATAAAGTCACAATTAGAACTTCTGTGGCTAGCTACATGTAGGTGGTCCCCGTGGAACAGATATTTTTTCTACCTCCTCAAGATATTTTTAACAGGAAAATACCATCTGGACAAATTTTTAGTTAATTTTAATTCACTCATTTAACCTTGATGTGATCGTCACATTAGTCAACTGTAACGGTCAAATTTTTTGGTTGTGAAAATGGTCACGTTTTTTTACACTCCGTAAATAAGCGTCAAAATATATTTACATCCAAATACATATTTATTAAACATTTCAATGTAAATTTTATATGAAAATTACCACTTTTACAATGTTTGTTATATGTAAATACAAAAAGAATTGCGCATTTTCTTTAAAAAAATGCAGAAAAACATGTGTTGTCATCATTTAAAAGTTGCTGCCTTTACAAAAAAAAACTATTAGAATAAGAATATTGACCATTCCTAATACAATGGAGCCCTTAGTTTCATTGAAAATGAAGGCATGTGCACGATAACGGTCAATTTATTTTACAGCAAATACCTTTCTCGTATCGTTGTGATAATCAAACTTTGTTTGTAATCCTCATGAATTTGAGACTTACTGAAATGGCAGGAACCTGTCGATGCATCTTCATCACAAGGACATTTCCAACATGGTAGGCCCAGGGCATTCCTGTAGTAGCCTATGGCACATTGTTCACAGAAAAGTCCTCCGAAACCAGAGCGACACGGGCACCACACCTTCGACGTGAAGTTACACATACTGTTGCCAGATAATGTTCCATACTTATCGCATTCACAAGCTGAAAAAAGACATTAGTTAGTCAAATGAATTATAATCTATGAAATATTTCGTGTTACATGTAGATGAAAATTTACCTAAAATTTCCATTTCATATATGTAGTTTCATCAAACTGCATTAATTCATCAACATTAGGAAAACATCAAAATCGTTAAAGGACTTTTACATTTTATCACAGTCAGACTGTTTTTTCATTGAAAACAGATTTTTTTAATCTAGGGTATCCCTTGTTATCATTTATGAACACTACAAATATGCACACATCATAGTATTACTTTGTATAAGAGAGGCAAATATGTACATACTTTTGGTGGTATCATAACTGGTTTTAAAAGAAGTCGTATTTGACTGGAGAATCTTGTCCCCTATGTAAACAGCAGACACGTTTAGCCTGTAGATGGTGTTTGGGGTTAGTCCGTCTAGGTATAGAGCTGTCACTGACCCATTCACTTGCTTTTCAGTAATATTCGCTGAAAATATCCAACAAGTGTATGTCAAATAGAATATATAGTATAATTATAATTACATGTATCAAGTCTGTCATTATTTCTAACCCCTGAAACTGCTTTCAACATTTTATATAACATTTACTAAATTATGATCAATACACATGTACATTCTCATTGTAAACATTCAATATATCAGTACATGCAATGTTTATGTTACCTAAATTTTTCTACAGTCTATTCCTTTATGAATTGGGAAAAATGAAGCATCATTTGCATTGAATTTTGGAATATATTCCCCAGTTTTTGGTCATTTTGGGCAAATAAGGCACTTATAGCTAGGGGAAACAGCCTGTATTCGGCAGTAAAACTGAGCAAAATAAATCACTGGCATGTAACCTTGTGCAGTCAAGCATGCCAAGCATCTACCCACTACATACACTGCAAGTCTCTACTACAAGTATCATGTATATATCATTCATGTGGCTGAATAATTTAACATTTTTACTCGCCCACCAAACTCTCAAGTTATTGATAATACTAAGAAGCAATTACATATATCCCCTACATACATGTCTAAAAAGACACCTGCATTTTTGTGCAGGTAAGCCAGTAAGCGACCTCCGTGACCTGGACAGATGACCTCCGTGACCTGGACAGATTGTAGTACATTTTTGAATCTCCTGCATTTGTAACAAGCTTATCCCAAAATTGGAAATGGTGTAAATATCAACATTTTTAAGCTTTGAATAATGAAATATTCCTTAGGAAAGACAAAATAGGGTTTTCAAGACAAAATAGAATAGTTGAAATCCCATACTGCTGATTTTAATGGATTTCAAGATTTTACATACTGAAATAACCTGAATGAATGACCTTGACCTGCATATATTCACCATCTATGACCTTCAATTCATTGTTGACAACTTGGCATGTATGTATATATATACATGCACAGTCATTATATATAACACACAGTATATACAGGTACCGTACAAGTACAGTATATACTCCGACATGACACAGTAGCAAGATTACTGTATACATAACAGTGCACTTGTTAATATATGCAATGGCATTTCAGGTCATCTGGTTGTAGGCTACAGTTATGTACATGCATATGTATAACAGGTCATAACATCATAAGAACACTGATCACTTTTATGTGCCCCTCTGGTATACATAGTGATTGACCCACCACAAACTCTGTACATACGTGTACATGCATACATATGTTACAATTCCATTTTATACTGCATGTGATCATATCTAGAAGCATATATAGCTTACATGTATACATAGTAATACAGTTCTAAATAGTGATAGTATCAATATTTAAAGATATGAAATATACAAAATCATCTTTTTTTTCTTTTTTTTTTAGTTTTAACAAATTTTATATAAATGGATAAGATAACAGGCTAGGCCTATAGCTACAGTGTACATGTATATCAATCTTCTCCAAGATGGTGTAAATATGACATTATATATGTAATTATATTTCAATAAGCTATTTATATTATTGTATTACACTCATACACTCAATCATACATTCATACAACTTACACTCTCAATACACACTCATGTCAATACTCATTCTCTATACGATAATTATAATATAATTTATCTAAATTGACTAGCAACTATCAACAGTTATTATTGAGTTAGGTTAGATACAGAAAATAAATCATTTAATTATATATACATGCAAACGAAACATATATAATAGTTTGATAATATTTAACATTTAGTTACATCATCCTAACCATTTAGATGCAATAATGTACTTTTCAACATTAGACAATATCAGTATATTTATTTCAGAAGGTAAGTCAGTAATTCCAGATGTCAAAAGATGAACATTTAAGTAGCCAACTCTGGTATAGAAATCATGGATTATGTTCCTGGAATTAGAGTAATTTGGACAAGTGGAGAACAAGCGTTCAGAATTTTCAATTGGATGGCAACATGAACAAGAAGAATCAGGAGATAGATGGTCAGCAAATTTGTCATAATTTAAGTCACTGGCATTATTTCTAAATCAATTTGGATTTGAATATATTTAATGATGGTGCTGAGATTGTTTCAGAATCAAGAGAGTTCCATATTCTCATGACATCTGGAAAAAAACTATTGCCAAATAAATTAGATCTAAAGTGAGGAATATTAAGAAATCTGTGTTGCCTAAGATTATGAGGTTTTATACAGTGTTCCCAATGGATTTTAGATTTTAGTGTATGTGTGATGCATTTTCACGATTCTATTCCCCTAGGTTCTTAGTTACATAGGACATTTGTTGAAAACTGGGGGTACAAGCAACTGTTCTGGAGCTGGTGAATATCCCTCATTTGGGGGTTTCCGGGAACACTGTTTATAACAATCATATTGTTACAGTTTAAAAAAAACTTACTTGTCTCGTCTGGCCACCACTTCACAATGTAGCCAAGTAGATGTCCATCGTGGAATCTGACGATGTCAGTTTTCTCCAGGGGTTGTTTTTCCTGGGAGTCATTATACTTAATGTATTTAGGAGTCCATGGCGTCCATATCGTAAGGTTTTGATGATGCTCGGTCGCCTTATAATCGCCTGATGAAGTGTTGGTCTGTTCAGGGCCAGTTGTCACAGACGCTACTGATGGCCCTGACGTTGTGTTTTCGCTCTGATTAGAGCTGGAGTTTACATTAGACAAGTCTAAAGTTGCGACAGAACTGTTATGTACCTTAGCTGACAAGGTATTGTTACTTGTGTCAACGACGTTAGAAACACTAGTGTCTGTGCTGTTATCAGAGTCCTTGTTATACGTGTAAGACACATCCTTTTGTTTGTTCAACGCTGTATCAGTGTCTATATCTGTTCCACTGTCTGTGTCCGTCTTACCAGGTGCAGGTTCGTTTGGGTCCCCCAGTGTGTTGGTGAAATTTACATGAATGTAGACTGGAGGTGGAAACCAATATACATAGGCCATCTTGTCACCAATGTAACCAAAAGACACATTCATGGGTGGATAGAGCGTAACATAGACACCTGCAAACACAAAAAGAAAATCAATACAAAAACAAATCATCAATTTTTGCCATCAAAAATGAACAAAGGGCTATAACTCTGTATTCAGTACAATACACTGCCATTCCAAAGAAGTACTTGTGTAAAAAGTTAAAACATGGCAATGGTAGGTAATAGAATACATGTATTATATGATACCTGTCCATGTATGCAGCACACAAAATGATGTGCTGTGAACAAAGGGCTGTAACTCTGTACATATTGGGAGCACAAGACCCGATTTCCGTATGTGACTGATGACAATCCATCAACACAAGAGGTACATCATTTTTTACTCATAAACAAAATTCAGCAATCCTATGTGACAGGTTATATATGAGATACATCCTGGAAAAGTGACACTCACTCAGTGAACTGAAGGCAAAAACATTGTATTATATCGTGGAACAAGACACAATTTCAATATCAATGATAGGCAATCGGTTTAAAATCATAATCAATAGTCAGTTAGAACCTCTTTGAGGCTCAATACCCATCTATTTTCTTTTTATCAATGAATGGATTTCAAGCAATTTTTGTTGTCAATCACATTGTAAAGAAACAATACATGAGAACAAATTACTTTCAATGCATACATTACATTGTATACATTTGAAACTTCGATTTCAAATATGAACTGAATATATCGATTATGGAATTTTGTAATTGATAATCTAAATGGGAAAGAGCTAACTGACCAATTTTCGATCAACCCATCCCTATTCAATATGTAATACTATCCCAAAAGGTTCTCGCAAACAAAATCCGGCAATTGTATAATTATGTACATGTCACACTACTACTACATGACAGAGTATATGAGATGCATTGACAGATAGACTGATTGTTTCCTATTAAATCACTGTAAGATTAAGTATCAAATGAACAGTTGCTTATCAAACACTTCAAATTCGATAGCATGCTCTATATCATTGATGACAGATTCATTACTTGATTACCAACTAATCCTCAGCTAAAGATGAGTTTATAGATGTAGTGGCACATCAAAACACTTTAACATGCATTTTCCATAATCTGAGATGAAAGCAATGATAATGGGTCTAAATTATTGGAAAGATCTTCTTTGATCAGGTTCTTATTTCTGCCAATTTTAAATGAAGAAAAGAGGGAAGCAACCAAAAAACTGTTTGTGCATGTACATCCATTATATATAGTCAGGCCTAGCCTGCGTGTCCTAGCTGTCGTATTCTTTTTGGTCAAGCATGTGTTACATTATGAATTATGTTCATTATAACATTTTGGTTTTTATTGTAAATAATCAGGGGTTTATCAGGGGATTCTCGGAAACGGACCCTGGGATCAAAGTTGGGAAATCTATCAACAAAAGAACTATTTTGTGAAATTACAATGATCATTGTAACAACTCCAAAAAACTGATTGTGAGAAAATTGTGTAAATTACTTTATTACTTTTTTTTATATATATTCCTATTGGAATATTTTAAAAGGGCAAGTTTGGAAAAATTATACACTTTTTCAATTTGAAACAGTTCCTTTACACAGACCTTAAAAGTACCTTTATAAATCCCTGAATACATCAATTGAGCTGAAAATGAAATGCATACCAGTAATGTAGATATATAACCCAGTGTACTTTGTAGATATACAATGTAATATATAATTTATATGATGTAGCCTATACTAACCTATGGTATGTATTGTGTTGTATAGTCAAGTGACCTTAACATTGTTCAGCGTTGTTCTGTTATGTAAATGTCTGACACTGATTTGGACCTCTGGCTTACTAGTCTTACGATCTACCTATAGCTAATGAGCTATAGAGAAATTCTCCCTAGCCGATCGCGAGTGACCATGGTTAGGAACGAAGCGACTAGTATTTCACCAGGGTGACTTACTCCCCCTCAAGGAAAGAACTTGTCCTGAGTTTTCCAGGGGTCATAGCGATATGACCAAGACATTATGAGTGGGGTAGTCTTCATTAACAGAAAGTAGGCAGATATGAATTCAGTAGCACACAATATGCATGCATCTCAACAGGGAATTGCAAATAATACAAGCAATACTATAGCATTATTTTGTTGACTCTCAACTTATATACATTTTATTTACATCTCATTTAATGACAGACTGTTTGGTACATATGTATATGTAACATCCATATGGAATAATGCAAACTGTGATAGTGTATAACATATGTTTCATTTTCTGTACTTGTACAACATGAATTTATTAGACTGAAAAATATACATCATTAGTCGTCAGTCGATATCAAGGATGAAGTGATAGCGATTAAGACACAGCTTGCATTTGTAACGTGATGTCTATATACACAGTACGTACAGGATGCATGTTACATAGTTTATCAGATTTCATAAATCAGATTTTATCTTGTATATCAGTTAATGCCTTCCAGACACTGTACAAGGTAGTAATATCTCACATGAATATATTTAATATAACAACTTATTTGCTTCAACAATGTGTAAGATATAATTTCAAGACATCTGTTAAAAATACATCATCTTATTATTTGAAGAAAATGATTTCGTGATGTGTAAAAATAGCCAGCGGACTTTCAGTAAGCCAGCTCAGCTGTAAGCAGACCGAGTTCCAAATTTAATGTATAATATACTTACCAGCATGTTCTCGTTGACATACGGACGGAACGAATACAGTTACAGAAAGGACACTCACTAATTTTAAGATCAGCGACATTTCGAGGTTATGTCGACATATAGCTGCATATAGGCTAAAGACAAACTGAAAACAGAACGATAACCGCAGGGTTTCAGTATTTGTTATCTTCAACAACGAAGATTTCTACTAAGGGAGATAACAGATGTGGTAGGTAAATCTTGTACGCCGCTCCTGCTCCCGTCCCAAATCCCCGTACCAGGCATATAGAGATATTTTAATATCTCATTAACGCGATCGCTTATATATTTTTTTTTATAAAAATACACAATAATTTCAAACATTGTTTTCTGAATGTGACAGTTACGAAAATGTAAATTTATCATCTAATAATTTAGAAATCGACGATAATGTTTATTACAAGGGGGTAAAACTTGTACGTCGCAGTCAACCGTGAAAATCATGGTTTTTTTTTATATATAATTAGATATTGAGAGAAAATTAACATGTTATTTTCATATATATAGAACAAAATACCTTACTGTTTATAATTATGTAAGTTTCGTTGAAATAAACGACATTGCAAACTACCCTTAACCTGATTTCCAGTTTGATTCCTCTTAAAAACTGTTGAAGGATTGTTATCACTAGAACTAGTTGACTTAACTTGCTTTAAAACTGATGGAAAAGTTCTCCTGTAATCATGCCCATCTTATTTGTTGATCGTATGTGAATCTGACTACAGTCGGTAGATTCTATAACAACCTCGTTATTTGACATGTCGTCAGCAACTGAGGAAACCGTGGCTGCGATCGAGAAGCGTGAAACTGATAGCGTTTGAAGTGAGTGATCTTGCGACGGAGCACAGGGGTTCGTTAAAAATGTCTGAAATGTTTATGTACTGTGACTCATATCAGTAGGTCTGTAACATATGTGTCAGTAGGTCTATAGAATATGTGTATTTCAGATATTTGTAACGAACCCCTGTTGATCAGTGCAGTGTGAAAGACGATATTTCTGATAAATTGCTGAGCGGTAAAATTGTTTCCATTGCCGGCATTGGTAATTTCAACCAATTTATGTGCAAAATAAAAAATGAAATAAAAAATAGTTTTATTACAACAAAAACAAGACCAAGGTCTGCAATATCGTACAAAATGCACATCGGTTGAAATCACCAATGCCGGCAATTATGTTGTTTGCTTGCAAAGATGTGTCATTCAAATAGATCATAAATACCATACAAAAACAGTTCAATGCTTAAATAATCTAATTCTCTTATACAGTGTATATACACGCGTGCCGTAGATCGATAACTTACTATATATATAGTATCCATGTTAGGCACTGGCAGGTATTTGTATATTCTATATGATATATACACTGTATAAAATAATTAGAGTACATATGCACGCGTGCCGTAGATCCAAAAAAAACCAAGATCCATTATGTTATGTGTGTTGCAAAAGAGAATGTGTACGTACTAACTCTGTGCACTTGATTAATGTGTAGTGTACAGAGTAACCGGTATAAAATATCATGCGTAACAATAAAATATATTTCAGAACAGAAGAGTTATCATTAATACATCTACAATTTAAGTGGATCTTGAACATAGAATTACAATTATCTAATATTTGTTTTAAAAATAAACTATAACATGACCATGCGGTGATTTTTTTAAGAAAGAACGTCTTGTGTCAAGCCTGGTAGAATTTGTTTTTCAGCACTCGAAAATATCTTGTATCACACCTGAACAAATTCATCGTATTTCACAATGAGACCACTTCTGGAGCCACATCTCCGACTTCCTTTTTTTTCAGCGAGACAAAACTTTCTGTGTCAAGTCTAACTGAGTCAATGGGAACTAATCCGGTAGTCTTTTTTTCTGTGAATGGAAAACGTTTAACATCGGGAGTTCCACAGGGGTCTGTTATAGGTTCAGCTATATAAATGATCGACACGGTATGTAGGATTCGGAGTCATAAGTAAGTACTTAAGAATTTAACCAAATCCTGCGGCAATATAATATCGGACGAATGGAGCTACGGTGCGTTACGTTGTTGTTGAAACCACATACAGAAAGATGTGCATTACACATACGAAGGGTATTACGCGTCATGATCTGGGTGAAATAGTCCTTAAAAATCAGAAGCAAGAATGATATACATTAAAGAGTAATAATTGATGATATCTTGAATTGGAGAAAGTATTTCCTTTTTTTTATCACGCAAATTTCAAAGAAAAACATTTCAAAAGGACCACGAATCAATTTCCTTTGAATCAGTCTATTCGCTTCGATTCATTGCCACCTTCATAGTTAATGTTTAACCCCACATATGCGTCATATTTGCTGTCATATCTAGAGTACAGGTGAATTCCAAGACCTACCTGACATTGTTCCCAGATACATGTACTGTAAAAGTGGGTTTTTTGCGAGTGGAAATGTTCGCGTATAGACTCTTTAAGCAGATCTAGGTTTGGAAATTTAAGCGTCGATGGGCGAAACGAGCTTATGCACAAAAGTGTCAAATGTGTACGAGTTGTCCACACAATTGATGTCGATTCGGCTGTGCTGTAGGCATATGCACAATAGTTGTTATATATGTACCGAAATGACCCGAACTGGCCAACTGCGGCGTATCCAGATGGCTTCCATTATCTGCCGCTTGAACAAATTGCTCTTTCTGTTCAAAACTTTGAAGTTATTCCTGTCAATCACATTATTTTTCTGTGTGGCATGGTCTGTGATTGCCGATTTATTTATCTGGGACTCCAACTTCTTCCTTCCTGATCTGGTGAATTTCCTACCTTCTTTGGTTTCCGTATCTTTCCGGTGTTCCCCAAGGCAAACCCCAAATTGCCTTCCGTTTTCTCCAATATACATTGTACGACGCGTCGCAGTTTTTGCATCCGATTGTGTATATGCATTCTGCGACGTTTTCTTTCATGATAATAGTATGTGCTCTTCGTGTCCATCTGCTTTGGTTGTGATCGACGTTCCTTCTTTTGTTTTGTTTTTGTTCTACACTGAGACGTTCAATGAGACGTGTCACACCACGAAAACGAAATATTAACGAAATATTGAGGCATGTCACACCACAAAAACGAAAATTAACGCTTCAATGAAACATGCCACTCCACGAGAACGAAATATCAACGTTACACTTAGACGAGTCACACCACGAGGACGAGCAATCGACGCTAAACTAAGACGTAACGCCACATGAGAACGAACTATTAACATTTCACCGAGACTTGTCACACCCTGAGAACGAACCATTAACGTTGCACTGAGACGTGATACACAAAGATCAAAAGAATGAACAATTAATGGATTTATTGAGACGAGGCACACACCGATAACGACCCATACTTTAACGTTACACTGATACGTGTCACACCACGAGCGCGAATAATTAACACTTCACTGAGACGTGTCACACCACGAGAACGAAATATTAACGGAACATTGATGCTACACTGAGACGTGACACAACACACAAACGAACAATTTACACTACACTGAGACGTGACACAACACGCAAATGAACAATTTACACTACACTGAGACGTGACACATCACGCAAACGAACAAGTTACACTACACTGAGACGTGCCACAACACGAGAACGAACAAGTTACACTACACTGAGACGTGCCACAAAACGCAAACATAAAGAACATACCAAACGTATTGATTACTGATCATGAAAAGTTCTTTGTACACAACCAATAAGATTTTCAAAGTGACGTTTCGATGACTAGTACGATATGTACACTGTCACCTTCATCAGACAAATGACCAGTGAAGCTTACGCCCAGAAAGGTGTACGAGTTGTCCAAAAAATCGATGTCGATTCGGCTACGCTGTATGCGTATGTACACTATTTGTTATATATGCACCGAAATTACTCGATTCAGCTACGCTTTGTTTAATGCTTGATCATAGATATACGTGAGTCTTTGAGCCCCCTCATCTCGATTTAGAACTGGGCAAATGCGGCGTATCCAGATGACTTCTTTTATCTGCCGCTTGAACATATTGCTCGCTCTGTCCAAAACTTTGGAGTTATTCCTGTCAATTACATGCTTTTTCTGTTTTGTGTGGCATAGTCTGTGATTGCTGATTTATTTATCTGGAACTCCGACAGCTTCCTTTCTGATCTTTCCTACCTTCTTGGGTTTCCGTATCTTTCCGGTGTTCCCCAAGGCAGACCCCAAATCGCCATCCAGTCTCTCCAATATACGACGCGACGCAGTTTTTGCATCCAATTTTGTATACGCATTCTGCGACGTTTTCTTTAGGTGTTTCATCCTTAGGGTGTACTAGGATATTGCCAAGCGTCCTGTGGGGCTTCATGGCTGTTGCAATGCCATGACCGTGGAATCTCCTCTGGATGGTTTCAGATACCATCTATAGTATTGATTACTACTAATAAGTAAAACTTATTCGATGTACTGATATATTTTCTTAAAAGGACCATTACTTAAGATTCAAGATTATAGTTTGATGTTACTAGTAAGATCACTAGTATACGAGCAAAACATTAAAAATAACAGAGACAACTTAAACAGAAACAAAAAATCGGAAGCTATAGTCGATAAGAACAAACTGGAACCAAAGAGACGTTAGACTACAGTTTATGACATCATGCTAGCTCACAAAATAAAGAGGCATATCCCGATGCTTCAGAAGGGTTAGCTTTTCTTGCACCATATATAGCACTAATGTTATAATTCCCAGCGTCCCAATCGCTACACACCACCCTTTCACACTTGATTTCGAGCCCTTATTTATTTATATCTTGACGCGAAGGAGTGGCTCTGTGTTCAAATTGTGTTACATTTTCCTTTTTTTCCTGTTTTTAAATTACCACCAGTTATTCCAGTTCTATATTTCATCATGCGAGTTCCATTGCATCTCATTGAATCAGCGAATATGTTTTCCTAAATACGATGTATTAAACCTATTTTGGTGTTGAACACTTTGCTCTACAAACAGAGAAGACCCGGCGATAGGACTCCTTTTTGTCGGTCTGAGCGAAATATTTAAAGAAAATGTCAATAGATTTTATCTTAAACTAATATATCATGCATGTACATTGTTTTAATTGAAAATGCTTTTGGGTATTCTTGTATAAAATATTGGGGTAGTAGATTATTGAGCAGCACG